CAAGGTGAGTCCTCTCTTTTTTCAGAACAGGTAAAAAGGTTCACAGAGATGAAAGTTAAATAGAAAGCTCTTTAAACTGGTATTTATAGAGACGAAGAAAACAAACAGTCCCTGTTGAAAATGAAAGCATGTACTAAGATCCATTTCGATGACAGTTGGAAGAAAGCAGCTTTTATGGAGAGACTTGACTGCACTTTTTGAAAACTGTGATTATTTACTTAAAAACACAAATGATGGGCCTCAAGTCATGGGGATTGAGGAAGATAGGTTTTGATTGAACACTCAGAGGATAAATTCCTAACAAATAAATTGCTCCACACCTTTGTCTGGGGCATTAAAGGCCATAGGCTGTGCTTTTCTTACGCTACTCTCAAGAATGCAAGGGTCTATAGAAAAAAGCATGATGGTTTTCCCCTGTCACACTGAGAAAGAAGTCCAATGTTCTTTTTGAAGACACCCACTTTTATTGATATGATGGGTGACCCACTGAAGGGTGCTAAACATAGCCAGTTGTTCTCACATTGTACCAGAACCCTGCACCAGAACATGTGCCATTTATCAGACATTCAGAATTATAAAATAAGACATCATTACATTTTGATTTCTGGTGAAATGTCTTGTATGTGTGTTTTTCTCTGAAGTTATTTTTTAACATCTCAGAATGACCTCTTTGAGACACCTGAGCTCATGGTTCAGGTATGAGCAAAGAAGCGTTGAGGAATTCAGCATTTGACGAAAGCTCGATGATGAGATCCTCCTGCTCATTGTAGGCGGTACACGGGTTTTAACCACTAATTAACCTTATTCTTTTAAAGTTAATGTAACCATGTTTGTATCTCTGAAAAACCCTTTTAAAGTTAAGAAATGCACAGGCCTAATAAAAATGTGAGTTAGTTTTTGGAATAAAAAATAAGGACAGAAGAATTGTAACATAACTTATCCAATATTCTTAAAAATAAAGGTTATTTTAAGGCATGGATCCATGAAGAACCTTTAAAGGGGTCATATGATGCGATTTCAAGTTTTCCTTTCTCTTTGGAGTGTTACAAGCTGATTGTGCATAGATAAGATCCCTGAAGTTGCAAAGACTAAAGTCTCAAAACCGAAGAGATATTCTTTATCAAAGTTAAGACTCTGCCACGCCCCCCTAAAACGGCTCATTCTAACACGCCCCCACATATCTACCACACTATATGGAAATATTTGCATAATGCCACCCAAATGTTCACGCAAAGAAAGAACGCGTGGTTTCAGTAACCGCAGTTAGTGTTGAAGCAGCCATGTCAGGGAGACGCTGTGTGTTTTGGCGAAAAAATGCCTTTCTGATTTTTGCGAAACCCCAAAAAAATAAAAAGAGACCGAGCCTTGAGCTGGCGATAAGGAAGCAGACCTGGAGCCTATGCCTAGTGGCCAGCCAACCAACAGTAGGCATACGCATTAATCTTATTTTGTTTTAGTAGTATTAATTCGAACAATAATTAATTATAATTCTAACAATTCTTCCTGATTATCCAGTCAGTAATGTAGGCTACTCTAAGAAGCCCTGTGATGAAGTCGCTTAGCTTATATTAAACATAAAAATTGAACAAAACGAATAAACTGATGACTTGGTGTAACCACGTTGTAACATAAAAATAAAGTCTTTGTATTTTCCCCATTGTGGCTTATTATTATTATTATTAATAATAATAATAAAAAAACATAGGCCCACAATGAAGTACTGTATCATTAAGAAATTCACATATTAAACTGAATTTTTATTAACAAAATGACAATTTTGTTTATAAAATTTGTAACGCAAATATAATGGATTTCCCCTTTTAAAACGATCTTAGTTTGTGGTTCATCTTTGTTTTTTAATGAAAACACAGCAACAATAAAGACCAACTCAGTTATTTTAAACGAAGAAATGAAACGTTTATTAACAAAAGTTCTCTTGCGCTTTTGGATCCGCCACCAGTCATTTCGCTTCACTCTTGTCGCGTGACTCCTGCGGCTCCGAGCTGCTTGGAACAGACGCGCGGCGCCTCAGAGCTGTAGCGCCCTGTGTCCAGCTGAACTAAATTGATTTTGTTTGTTTTTATTTCTTGTAACACCGACTACAGGACAAAGCCTGTGTATTGCACACATATAACTTCGCTCCTGGGAAAACTCGACAACCCCCCGCCCCCCCTTTTTTTTCCCTCAGCCCCACCTGCTCAAAATACGTTCCCGCGGCTATGGCATCATATGACCCCTTTAACATCCATGAAACTTTTCCATTCCACAAAAGGTTCTTTGGATTATTAAAATGCATGCTAAGAAAAAACGGTTCTTTTAAGAACTGTTCTGAAAGGTTCTTTGGGGTACCAAAAATGGTTGTTTAATGGCATTTCTGTAAAAAACTCCTTTTGGAACCTTTATTTTTAAGAGTGAAAACATTGCATTTTAAACATTGTAGGCCTATGCATTGCACATGATTTTCCTTCCCAGACCAATTAAGTGCAAAGTGCAAACTCTACCCCCGCAGCTGATTTAAAAATTAAGGTTTTCCCAGTGAGGGAATTGAGGAGTGAATGTTGAAATGGCACAATTTTTAAATGTTTTTTTTTTTTGGGTGAGGTGCTTTTCTTTTCTTTACTCTTTTTGAGGATCATCTCTGCGTTGTTATGCTAGTTTGAGAGGGTGACTTGTAAGGTTATCAAAATGCGTCCCTGCTTATTTTGCGCCTCATAATTTAAGATAACGTTTGTCTCTGCGCTCTTGCTAGCTGTTATGGTTACTGTTCTGATTCCGGGACAGTCAGGTGTAAAGTTAGGTTGCCACGGTAAACAATTGACCTGTAAAATAAACGGCATAATAGTTACTTAAAATGTTACAATCGTGACAGTTTTATGAGGCTGGTGACTAAAAATCTTTTCTGCTTTACGAATTCAGTAACGCTCATTTAATCCTATAATCATTATCATCATCATCATAACAATATAATCTACCATTGTTATGGTGCTTATAAATCACTGGCGTATGACGCAACGTTCAATTTAACAACATGCAATCTTCTCATAAAAAAGGAACTTGCTGTAAGACACACAACTCCCAGACTCTCCATATCAATATGACAGACTTCAGCGCAGCTCTTGAACACACAGTTTCAAGTTTAAAGATTTGTTTGAACTGGACTGAAAATATTGGATTAAAATGTGGTAATGCTTCATAGCCATTCGTCTATAATTAAACCCAAGACAAAAAGCCAGCTAGGTCTGTAATACCTTAGCATTGCCATCATCTCAGTGGACAATGATGGACTGATGAAAGGACCCCACAAAAGACTGCCATCTTTGCTCATGAGCGCTCAGTTTCAAGAATGTTTGTCATGACTGAGTACTCATCAAATGCAGGACACAGAGAATTAGTATCGGTCCATTTCACACTTTTAAGAACCCATGAGAAATATGTAGTCACTGATAAAAAAAACAAAACAGAATCCACTTTAATATAATTAAATTTCAGTGAATTATGAAGTAGATTCATTGACAAAAAGGCTATTTAGTCAGATTACACAGTTACATTGGGATTGCCATCAATATGGAAACATGCTTCTTGCCCTCATGCAGCAGTAGACCAGTAGTCTAAACAGCTCCATGTTCCTTAGGGATTTGGCTGTAAAGCAGAGCGCGGGAGGCTGACTCTAGCAGCTGTAGCACTACAGGACCATATCACACGAAGCGTTCTTGTTCGAAACATTCCCCGTAACCTCCCCGTATCAGACGCTTCCTGTGGGGCTGCACATGTTAGTAGGAAGCACAGAAATCACAACTCAAGGCAGAGCGTCATATGTCCTGAGCAGACACAAGGACAAGAGGAGAGAGAGTATGTGCTGGATCGTGGCCCTCCACCTCTGACTCTTGGTAGGCTGCGATTATTGTGTTTCATGCTTAGGTTTTGCTGAAAGCCCACATTGGCTAATGTTCAGTTGTTGCTGTTGATGCAGCCCAGAGGATGGGTCTGGTGGCAGCTCCTTCAAGAAGACTAACAGCAGAGGAGTGGGCAGAGGTCAAAACCAGGTCCATCCAGGAGGGAGACTCAACCCAGCCCTGTGTGATATGCAGGGAGGAGTTTCGTCTGCAACCACAGGTAACTGCGTTCAGAGGCATCGTGCCCACTTATGTGCCCTCTCATTTTTGAGCCACATGAATTTGGAACGCATTTAAATACATTTGACAGTTAAGTGCAGTGATTATAGTTGGTACAAAATTAACATTGTCCCAAAGTTGTTAACTTTTGGAGCCAAAAGAGACCATTTAGCCTATGTGATTCATGGGGCAATCCCAAAATTTTAGAGTTTTGAGAGTTTTAGCATTTGATGATTTTATATATATATATATATAT